ACCAGTGTTGCTTTAAATGACACCATAAGTCCTCACCTCACTGCCGAGCAAAAGAGAGACCTCTTAGACCTTCTCCAAAAGCACAGCCTTTTGTTTGACATACATTCCAAAGTTCTGGGCCGCACCTCCGTTGCAGAGCACAGCATTGAAACCGAAGGCAGCTCCATTGTGCGCCGCCGCCCATACCGTCTGTCTTCGGCGGAACGGCAAATCATTGAGCAAAACGTCACCGACATGCTCAAACGGGATATTATTCGACCTTCATCCAGCTCTTGGTCGTCTCCTGTGGTGTTGGTCCGAAAAAAGGATGGCTCTGTCCGCTTTTGTGTTGATTACAGAGCGCTCAATAAGATCACGAAAAAAGACGTATATCCGTTGCCACGCATAGATGATGCCCTGGACTCCCTACAAGGCGCAGAATATTTCTCCAGTCTCGACCTCCGATCCGGGTATTGGAAAATACCTATGCGCGAAGCAGACAAGGAGAAAACAGCGTTTGCGACGCCTGACGAGCTTTACGAATTTAACGTCATGCCTTTTGGCTTATGCAACGCTCCAGCAACATTCGAGCGCATGATAGATACCGTCTTACGTGGTCTCAAATGGAAAACCTGTTTATGTTACTTAGACGACATCGTAATTTATTCTTCTACTTTTCCCCAGCACTTTAAGCGTTTGGACGAAGTTCTAACGTGCATTTCGAACGCTGGTCTACAGCTCAATACAAAGAAATGCCACTTCGCCAGCACAAGCATCAAAGTATTGGGTCACCATGTCAGCAAAGATGGCGTTCGACCCGACCCCGACAAGGTTGCTGCCGTAATTAGTTTTCTACGTCCGGGCAATCAAAAACAATTGCGAAGTTTCGTGGGCCTGGCGTCTTACTTCCGCCGCTTCATCCGTCACTTTTCTGCCATTGCGGGGCCGTTACACAAGCTTCTGACGTCAGGAACGGCTTTCACGTGGACTGACGAGTGCGAGTGTGCTTTCCAAGCCCTTAAGCGTGCTCTGACATCAGACCCCGTCCTCCGTCACTTCGATGAGAGTGCACCCACTTTCCTGCACACAGATGCCAGTGGCCACGGAATCGGTGCTGTCCTCCTCCAGCGCGATGAAACATCACGTGAGCGATTAGTTGCGTATGCCAGCCGCGCTCTAACACCTGCGGAGCAGAACTACTCGATAACAGAGCAGGAATGTCTCGCTGTCGTTTGGGCCATCCAGAAATTTCGACCTTATCTGTATGAACGCCACTTCACTGTGATCACCGACCACCATGCCCTATGCTGGTTGTCCTCGCTGAAGAATTTGTCTGGGCGCCTCGGTCGCTGGATACTGCGGTTGCAAGAGTACACTTTTGACGTTGTGTACAGGTGTGGCAAACAGCATCAGGATGCTGACGCTCTCTCTCGCTGCCCTCTGCCACTTTCATCTCCAACCACGAATCCTCAATGCCCCTCAGGTGATCAAGCGGCTTCCTATTCACCCACGTTATCACCCCTGGCAGTTGCTGGGTCACTATCTTTAAACAGCAGCGCCCAGTTTGCCGCGTGCCAACGTGACGACCCCTACTGTAACCGCATCATCGGATACTTGAATGGCTCGTCTTTTCCACCTAACGCCAGACTACGTCGTCAGCTACGGCAGTTCAAGCTAGAGAACAACGTCCTGCAGCGCTATACTTACAATGCGGATGGGCATCGGTGGGTGCCAGTACTTCCCCGTTCGCTGCGAAAACAAGTTCTCGAAGCATTGCACGACGACCCATCAGCTGGACACTTAGGATTCCAAAAGACCTACAACCGCGTTAGGAGCCGTTTCTTCTGGCCTGGTCTTTCTACATTTGTGGCTAATTATGTCGCTTCTTGCACACTTTGTCAACGCCGGAAACAACCAACTTCAGCTCCTGCTGGTCTATTACAACCCATTCCATGTCCCGATACACCTTTTGTCGTTGTCGGAATAGACCTCGTCGGGCCACTTCCCGTAACGCCAGCGGGCCACCGCTGGATCGTCACAGCTGTCGACCACCGCACACGATACGCGGAGACCGCTCCTCTACGCACTAGCTCTGCCTCAGACGTTGCCGCCTTCTTTTTAGAAGCCATTGTGTTGCGTCATGGTGCACCTCACACGTTGTTGAGTGACCGGGGCAAGGCCTTCATATCGACAATTCTGGACGAAATCCTAAAGACTTGTGGCACAGTTCATAAGACCACATCCGCTTACCACCCGCAGACAAATGGCCTGACAGAGCGATTCCACTGGTCTATAATCGACATGATATCCATGTACATCGGACCGAACCACGATAACTGGGACAAAATCTTGCCGTTCGTAACATTTGCACACAACACCGCTGTTCAACGAACCACCGGGTATTCACCTTTCTTCCTCGTCTATGGTCGTGCGCCGACATTCACCATTGACGCCTCTTTCTTCGATGTAACGACAAAAACGTCCACGACTACGCCAGGACATTTCGTTTCCAGGCTCGCTGAGGCACGGCAACGTGCTCAACACGGAGGCCAGTCAACAAGACCGCAAGCAACGCTATGACAGCTTTCGTCGAGACGTCACTTTCCGTCCTGGAGATGAAGTATTACTTTGGACGCCTGTTCGCACTCGAGGATTGTGTGAAAAGTTTCAGTCACGCTTTCTCGGACCTTACGTTATTTCTGAACAAACATCTCCTGTCAATTACCTTGTCACTCCCGTCGAGGGTTCCTCGGACCGTCGTTACAGTGCCTCCGAGGTAGTCCACGTTTCACGTCTTAAACCCTTGGTTCGCCGTACATTTCCCGCCTAAGTCTCGGCCGGGCCGGCCGCTCAAGTGCGCGGGGAAAATAAGTGTGAGCATTGTTTATGTGTCTCATCTTTTCATCTGCACATACTCATCATCACTAGTCAAGCTTAGGTTGTGGGGCACATACTCAAGACAATAAAAAAGAGTCTTGAGGGTACTGGACACCATCTTACTATATATATATATATATATATATATATATATATATATATATATATATATATACATATATATATATATATATATATATATATATTTTAGGAGACAGACAACGTCTTCGACGCGCTCCCACTTTCATGTCATTTTTCGTACACACAGCACTAGTTTAATAGCGTAAAAAAAGAGGCAGTCAGTTTTAAGCAGCATGCACTGGGACAACATGTATATGTTATTTATGATGCATGCAATAATATTACGTGCGACGCTTTTTCTGCTTTACCTCACAACTTTCCGCATGACTACAATTATGTCGATGGCGGCCTCCTCAACAGTAAATATTTTGACATTGAATAAAATTTTTGACTAAAAACAGCTCACAAAGACTTCAGTTTTTAATTGAAAGCACTTCTTGAGGAACCAAAGCCATTTTGAGCACTTCTATCTACTTATTTTAGCTTCTCACTAAGCTTTAGTCCACTGCTAAATTTATTCGTCGCTGCTTTGCAAGCTGCCTCAATCGCTCCAAGTTGCCATAAGCATGACTGATCAGATTTATTGGAGATTAAAGAGGAAGCCTTTCTTGGCGCTTCCAGTACGGCAAGATTAAAATATTTAGAAACATTAGTCGCAGTCATGTACTCACAGCAGCTTCGACAGAGCAGCGGTAATGGCAATCTTTTTTTGATGAAAGAAAATGATTTTACTGAAGCAGAAAATGTTTTGACCAGTTCATGAAGAGTGTGTTCGTTCGCATATATAACTGCATCGGGGAGTTGCAGTAGAATAAAAACATGAACAAGTGATGTAATTAATAGGGCACCTGTTCAGCGCTAGCCTGCTCTACAGTGCTACTGCACAGGGTGGAAAGTGTCGCAAAAAGCCTTCAAGGAAAATTGCCAATGCTGAAACGTTGAAATATCACTGCAATGTACCTTTGCCTTGTAATACTTTTCTTCTCGTAACAATATAATTCAGTGATTACTAGTGGTAAAGGAAAATTTTGCCTTAGTTGTTTTCCTCAGCGTGCAACCGACTGTGACCACCAGCTGTCGAAAGGGGTGGGGGGTCTCGCCCCCCAACTTTTCTGAGGGGGGGGGGAGGACTTGAGCCCCCCCTTGCCCCCCCCCCCCTCCACGGCTGAGACGCCTATGGCTGGGCCTGTCCACCACTTCAGCTCATCTAAAATGTCTTCTTTTTGGGGGAGTTAGTCTTTACATTGCTCAAGTATGCTTGGCTTTGGCACTAAATACAGTTTGAGAAAAAGGAGCCTAGAAAAGAAGAAAGGACATTGAAAAGACATAGAAAAAAGGGCGATTCATATTCTTCTCTTCTATTTTACCTATTTCACGTAATGTTTTGCGCCACAGTCAAGCAAATTCAAGAAATAGGGCCATCTAGGAACTTGGCACTGCAACAGGAAAAGTTAACTGCATCAACATATGACACATCATTCATTATTAATAAGGTGATGGTAGCGACAGCTTAAACAGGTACACAATCATCAGTGACCATATTTTATAAACAAGCCGTTTATTAGTCGATACCTCAAAGTGAGTGTGAGCCAGTCACATAGTGAATCATCGTCATCATCTTGACGCAACTTTTCCTATATAGATAGGGAGCAAAGAAGAGCTACCACGGTGCCTACCCTGTATGTCTTAGGCAGTGCTACACGCATATACGATGTCGTAAATCTGACCCGTCGTAACAGCGTTTACTTTCCCGTGACAATGCGCGTGTTTTAGCCCCATGAACGTAAAAGCATTCACGAGGTGATCCTGATCAACCCAGGGCTTTAAATTTTGTACTCAAATGATTTTACATCCTCTACGTGGACATAAACTTTAGAAGAAAAAAGAAAGAAGGCGATGAAAAAGGTTTCATTTATTTTTCTATTACTAAAATAACTTACGATTTTGCAAATTTCAGTCAGCACAAAAAAATTTATATAAAATAACAATATTTTAATTATAAACTTTAGTATTTAAAAAAGTAAAAGAAATTATGAGACCCTTCAATTTTTCACCTCCACACAGTGGGTCTTAGCCACAGCAAAAGGAGCGCATAAGAACAAGCCAAGGAGGGACGCCATCAGCCAAGTATTGACAAAGGACCACTTTGGGATTATTTTAGTGAGTTATTTCGTGAATTTTAAAAGGGAATTTCAATTATCCTTGTCACTACAGTAAAGGTCCGAGCATCGGTGTATTGTTTTTTTTTTCCTGAAATCCCAAGTCACAACTCGCTTCAGCCAAATTAATGTGTTTCGGTATCTCGTTGCTTTTCAGGGCTTTGACTGAGTCCGAATAGATTCTACGGAAATCACTTTGAGGTGAAGCTTCGAGGAGGATGCTCGCACATTGCGTTGGAGGCAACGCGTTTCTTCGGAATGTAATTTTCGTGGGTGTTGTAGCAACGGCCGGTATTTGTGCGCCACCAGCTACGCGAGCAGGAGGTTCGAGTCCACTGGATGAAGTAATTAACGGTATGATACCATTGTTCCGCCTGGACAACCTCAACGGTGCCGTCTTGTCCGGTCAACCTTCAAGCTACAGCTGCTTCACGGCAACGCGTTCGCCCATCAGCGTTCACTGGGAGGTGAATGGTTCCCAGGCTTTCGACAGGAAGCAATTTGAGATCTTCTACAGCCCTATGGACACTATTGGTCCCGAATCTAAGCTCGTGTTCGCTCGGTACAGCACACTGACCATCAGGAAGACGGTGGTACGTACCTGTTACCATGTGAAGTACCACGTTTCTAAGGTAATTTTATTGAGATAGCAATTATATGGACACTCCCTGAGGGTCTTGCTTTCACCGTCGCGGTCATGTTGTGTAAAAAGCCAAGTTTGTAAAATTCTCCGGAGTATCATATGCTTACGCGCGGGTAAACGCACGCGAGCTGAGCCACGAACGCGGCGGAAGTAACGGTAAAACGAGTCGGCCCCCCTCCATTGCTCGAAGAGCGCATGCAATAACATTGGCCCCCACCCCACCCCTCATGTTAGACCTGCCGTAGAATGCTCAAGCACAAAGCAAACGCCATGCCCGTCTTGGACGAGCATGAAGATACGCGCGAGGGGGGGGGGGGGTTGCTGTAGCAGCTTACGCCTGTAAGCTTTTATTATAAGGGCATGGGCGCTACCGCTAGTGCATGTGCTATCTCGGCAGGCAACAGCACGGGTGACTTCTACAACCCTCTTCTGGCTGCGCATCTCTCCCTGAAGTGGTGTATTATCTTACGCCAGCATTCTTTATCGCTACATGATATCGGACCCAAAAGAGTCAGCTGGCAGCCTTATACTTTGTACAACAGCACAATTTCTTGCTGTCGCACTCATTTCTTCTCCTTTGCAGGGAAATGAATAATTTTTATCTTCATTAGCACCCAGTGCCATTCTCGTTTCTTTTTCAAACACACCTAACTGAGCGCCTACTTCTCGTTGCAAGAGTAATAATAAAACGTCTCCTAAAAACTGAAAATTATGCTTCTGGTTCAAATTAGAATTTTAATTGAGTACTTGTGATATCGAATCACAATACGTTTTGCTAAGTGATTGGCCAATCAACTGTCAGGATAAAAAGGAGTCAACTGATTGAGTTCACTAAAATATTGTCAGCAGCTGGGATGGTTGTGCCACCTGGCGGTGCAGATATCAACCAGGCGCTTTGTTCTACGTGGCCTCTGAGATCACTTCGGCGGCGTACGAAGCACGATGTCTACCGGAATAGCTTTACCGGGGAGCGCAAACGTTGACCTACAAGTGCCACTGCCAGACACTGTTGTCAAACCCGCCATAGTGGTCTAGCGGTTAAGGCACTCGACTGCTGACACGAAGGTCGCGGGATTGAATCCCGGCCGTGGTGGCCTCATTTTCGATGAAGGCGAAAGTGATTGAGCGCCACGTCCTTAATTTAGGCGCACATTAAAGAACCTCAGGCAGTCCTCCACTGCGGCGTTTATCATCATATCATGGTTTTAGTATGTTAACCCCCCCTCCTTCCTCTCAATCAAAAAGAAAAAAAAAGAGGAAGAAAACCTTATGTCAAGAGTCAGGGTCTCCTCCACAGTTTAGAAGACACCATATTTATTGACCTGATTCCCTCACTTTCAGTAACGTCGTGTGATAATTTCTAATAGGAAATATGGACCGATCTTCGACACCGGGCCTGAGAATTTCACTAAATCAAGGAATTTCACCAAACAGTGTTACTTGAGTACTATCAGCCTTCATTAGGGGCGACTAATGTTGACTAAAGAATGACTACGTGACGTGTAATAATGAGTATCCATGACTACTCGATGAAGCTAACTATTGTAGATGTATTGCAGAGGCAAGGTTTATTAATAATACTGACATTGTAGATAGTGCCCCAACCGTTGACTAAATAAACGAAGATAACGTCTTTCGATCGTTTTATCTCTCGTGGACATACCACCATTCTCGATCATAGGCCGGTAAGGTTTAATTATATCTTTTTTTGTGTCAGCTCAATCATTCAGTTGGTCGATAGTGAGTGATTGATTGATTGATTGATTTGTGGGGTTTAACGTCCCAAAACCACCATATCCCGGCCGCAGCCGGGATCAAATCCCGGCCGCAGCCGGGATTTGATCCAGCAACCTGCGGGTCAGCAGCCGAGTACCTTAGCCACTAGACCACCACGGTGGCGCTGAGTGAGTGAGTGAGTGAGTGAGTGAGTGAGTGAGTGAGAGGGTGTTAGTGCGTGTGTGGGGGTGTGTTTTTCGTGGGTGTGCGTGCTCAAAGCTGCATATCCAATGTGTACCTACACCGAGCCTAGATGGGCAATTCCTTGCACTTTGTAAGCATTTATTGCATACTGCGCGAACTGGAACGGACTGCATGGCATACACAAGCCCAAGTTTAGGAGGCTCTATCTTCCATTCGCTCATATAGCCACTTAAACAATGCGTCAACTAAGTAATATAAATATCCGTAGGTGAACCACTCACGTTCAGATTTCCCTTTAGTTTGCATAGCTCTTCGCGAGCTGGTTGTTGCTTCTCATTTACGGCTCTTATCATCTAAAAAAGGGGATAGGCAAGAATAAGCTGCTTGTACACGTGTTCTTGATCGGCTTTTAATCGATTAAGCTTACTTGCTGTTTTCGTTGCGGTAGACAAAGCACAAACAATATGAAAAGTAAGGTGTCCAGTAAAATAGTAATGATTAATAGTGTGTATAAGTACATTGCTCTTGAGGGAGACTTACACTTGCTTTACTTAAATGTCACTGCAATAAACAAAGCACACACAATATTAGAGGTGTAATATTGAGATAAAATAATAAATAGTATTACTCTATACAGATGCTTCAAACTATCACAGGAATAACAAGAATATATTGTTTTCTTTAATGAAGGTGCCAGCACATTTGCTGTATATTCCAGTAAATATTACTGGAACAGCCAGTGGAGGATAAGAAAACGTTCCATCTCTTGCCTAAGAAAAAAGAAAGAAAAAGGTAAACTGGGTACGTCCTATGCGTGAATTTTATGAAATGGCTGGTGAAGTTAGTGTCAACCCAAGCAGGAGAAACCCAAGTTGGAAAAAAAAAAAACCGTCGAAACAAGTTCAGGGCCCCTATAAAAGACCTTAGATATCAGCCACGCTATACGCAGCTATGGTAATCTCTCCATCTTTTAACACCAACCTTCTTCGTCTCGCCCACCAGGGTACAACGGTGCGCTGTATCGTCCAACAGTACGACGAGGAGCACTCTAACCACTCCCTGCGTGTCACCCGTCGTGTCACCCTGAGCACTATTTCGACGGTGGCCAAGGCCAATGGTGATTATCTGCACGTAACGTACGGTCAACCCTGTCCCCGGCGCACGCCGAACTGCGTGACCGAGCATGCCAGCTGCAGCGTGGATATCAAGCCAATACCCATCTGCCTTTGCGACAGTGGCTACAGATACGTAGACCAGGCAAGAGTCGTTAACTGTGTACCACGGCGTCTAAAGTGTGTTAGTTAATCAGCCACGTAACGCAGGGTCGTAGTTTATAACGTGGTGTAGGGATTCTCAGACAAGAGCGCATATCTTGATTCTACCGGATTTAACACACGAGAGAGCGAAAAGAGATGCACGCGGCAGAAGCAAGGCAGCTCACGCACGTGCAGAGGAGTTGAACTCTTTGCAAGAGTTACGCCTTTAGGAACAGTTACGCTTTTAGTAACAGCTAGTACTGGGGTCCCAATCTTGTCTGTGGTGGTCAAGAAAAACAATAAGTGGATTACCATCTTAGCAAAAAAGAAACTAGGCTACAGAGTGTTGAAGATTGGGCGAGTTGGTTCGTCGTAGTAGGCTACAGAGCAACGTCTTAATGAAGCCACGCAGCTTTGTGCACACAATCTTCTGGTTGTGTGCGCATGAAACATGTAAGCTTGGGCGCATATTCAACAGTGACTGAATCTGTAGTAATGTTTTTGTCCGTGAAAAAAAAAAAACTTTCTCTGATTGGGCAGTGGTCTTCTAATATGCTCGATAATACGCTCGCTACCACTCTTGAACACCTCTCGTTCTCCGAAGCATTATCAGTATAAGGATGTTATTGTGGTTATGGGCTCACATCTCGAACTCGGCATGGCTAGATACTAAATACAGGAAACAAATGCGGAAAGTACACGCGTCTATGTACAATGAAAACGACTACAAAAAAGCGAAAGAAGAAGGGAGAAGTCTTTTCTTTGACCATTTCTTGCCGTTAAGGCAGTTCTCTTTGTTCAAAAGAGTGAACCAGTTTGCCTAGTTGTAGCCATTTTACCGACAATTTGGGTTACAGATGCGTACGTGCGTGGCGCTTCGGCAGCACAACTCGCCTTGCATCCTGGGATATCCCTGCGCCCTACCGGTGGACAAGTGCGACGGCCGCTGCCGCTGCCGCAGACCTTTCCTACAGGACGCCTCTGGCTGCCGCATGAACACGACGCTGAACAGTGGCTGCGACCAGTACCGCTTATGCCCCGAGGGGGCGCACTGCGTGAACAACGTGTGCGCTTGCAGGTAATGCAGACTCCACCGCTTTGTGTGACAAGCTTTGTTGCACACATCATAATTTAGAACTACGGTCCCCGCCAGTGGCAATTTTTCTTTTTGTACGCTCTATTTTCCTCACAGTTACATCGTAATTATTTTAAATAACATCCCTCGTACTTTTCTTGACTTTCTTGTATGTTAGTTCTAGTTATGTCTACCAATGAAAAACGAGCCATTCGAATTCCCCAAACTTTGTTGCAGCAAGACAACGGTTGCGACGGCCGAGTATTCTTACAAACCGGATCCTACAAGTTTCGCTTGACCTCCCTGCCTTTCTCTCAATTTATTCTCTCTCTCTCTCTGCTTGAAATCTTTCTAGATGAAATTTGTTAGCGTAAACGGCCTATTTTCGTCAGTTCGAAAGGTCAGCGATGTAGATAGGCGAGCGCAGAGTTTCTCGTCAGGCGGGTAACGTTTCATCGAAAGCCGCCAATAGTACCACAATATTTATAAGGGTGACGTCGCGAAGCATACGTTCTATTTACAAAACCGATTGCTGAGATCACAGCGGTAGTGCAAGGAAAAGCAGTACACAAGAAGACAACGAAGATACTCACAGACAGCGCTACACTTCCAACAAATGTTCTATTATCGGGGACCACGTTATTGTTATACAGTTTTTTACGCACGGCTTGAACTAACACGTGCATGAGCACAAACAGTGGTTCCGCGAAAATTTTTGCGCCGCTAATCAAGCTGGAGAAAGGTATACGAGAAGGACCAACAGATTTAATTTAATCCACCCATCAGCACACGAGCGGGTATTGCAACTCCTTTCTTGCATTATTGCGTCCTCGTTTTCTTCTCGCTATACCATAGTAATTCAAATGTGCCTACCAACAAGCCCGCCTTGCAACTTTAACCCTATTATACGCAAACGTTGCTGGTCGTGTTTTCAAGACTGTTTTCAGGGCTCAACTAAACCCATCGCAAAAATTACCTGGTGCAAGGGAACTTAGAGAAGGCTCGAAACTAATGGTGAAGCCAAAATTCGGAAAATTATCTAAGAACAACCAAACGCATGGCGCCTTTATGGCCCGCACATTCGCACTGCAACGCGTTGACATTTCGACAGAAAGTGGGTCACTTTTTAAACTACTGACAGGGATGCCTGCCCATGCTACTGAGTACAGTGGCAGCCTGGCTGTTTGCTGCCACGTAAAATGTAGGATCACCAGCGCGTTAGACAGAGTAGTTCTTAGCAGAGCTACTTCCCCCATTAGAACAACTTTGCTACAAGAACCAAATGTATAGCATCACACGATGGAACATCGGAAATAAACTGAAGTTTATAGGGCAGCCCTTCGCAAGCGAATGCATCGACCCGTTGTGACAACGTGCTGGGGCCTTCGCGTTGGAGAGCAGTGCGGTGCCATCTATACGAAAGCTCGCGAAGCTTTGCTCGCGTAATTTGCTTTTTTTTTGCTTCGGCCATCAGCTTGGTGACACAACCACGTGAGGCGCCAGGAGTCCAATGAAAATAGAGAGCGCCTTCAAGCAAGTGCTCAAATTCGGGCTTTTCTCGTTAACAGCTGGAGTTTTCAGGGAGAGGTCTTGAATGCTGGAGAGGCCTTATTCGTGAAGCAGCTGACCTAATCTTATTGCAGTGAAACCTCTGTAATAAGACCACGGCTCGTACGAATTTCGGTGTCATAAGAATTTTTCTGTGGGCCCAGGCAAAACCTATCAGCCTGCAGTGCAATAGAGTACGGTTGTTAATTGGAAACCAAACCACAATTCCTCCTTCCCCCATTGCGTTTGATACGAACGTACGCTACAGCGCAGGAACTGCCCGCGCTTACGTGTAAAAGACCCTTACTTCGCGCGAGTGCGGAACGTAAGTACGGGCATACGCTTCGCGCTGCCTATTTGTCAGAATCATTTTGTAAGAAAAGTAAAATTTTTACACAGTGGTAAGAATAAACCTCCAGTGAAGCGTCGTAGCCTCCAAGACTATGTGCATGTATCCTCGATCTTGGAGGCCCTAATGCGCCTCTGTGCGTCTTTGCGTTTAGATTACAGATGGCGCTTGCGTCATGCTCTTTTTTTTTCTTGCGCGTCGATGCGTGCTGTTGTCGTTCTACTGTGTTTATAAATGCCCACCTCCGCGATTCAGTTGTCAGTCGATCGCGTCACACACTCAACCATATAGAACATTCTTTGCGTATGGTGGATTCTTTGCTGATCTCCATGTGTCGCCGACTGGCGGGGCGCTTTTGCCTAGCTATGCGCATAGAAGCTATTCTTTTATTATTCGATACACGTCGGCTCAGTTCCGCAAAACAGTAGAGACATAACCGGGTCTTCGAAGTATTTCGATACATTCGATAATACATTCGATACAAAGGAAAAGTATTTCACTACTGCGGTACAAACACACTTTTCAAATGTATTTCGATACAGGAACTCAAAAGTGTCTCTGAGATACTACTGCATCGCGATGCTGTCCACCTCTGTACTACATATTTCGTGTAGGGTTCATACGACCACCGCAGTCATTCAGTGTAGTCAGACGGCAGCAGTTTCATTCTGTTATACCCAGTTTTACAACCTGGTGCAAAGGAATACTTCTGCCAAGGTTTTTCTGTCCAACTCAGCGTTACTTTATTCACACCAGCAAAAATACCACGCACAAGCGAATACAATCGCCAGCGCCTGTTGGTCGAACGCACGTTCAACGTTGTTGTGAGGAAAGAAGCTTCAGGAGAAAGGCGTAGTGGCACCACCACGCCGTGCACGAAAATTTCCGTGTGTTTCACCTCACTGCCGCTGCTTGCTTCCGCTCTCCGCTCATCCCACTACCCCTATCTAGAGCACTGTATTACAACTTCTACTTTTGCAAGGGAGTCTGGTGCGTATTATTTTCTTCTTATTTTTTTTTAAATTTTACCTGCCTGAGTACTGTATTTGAAATACGACCTTAAAAAGCTTGCTGACGTGCTCTTTTCTGCACATAAATTTGATAAATCACGATTGTTTAGGAGCTCATGTAGCTATTTCAAGCATTCTGCCGTTCCTCTGGGAGCGATTATTCCATCACCTACGAAAATGTTGAAATATGCGGGAAAAATTCTGGAAGTGTTTACACTGTCGATACACACCACCACAGATTTCAGTGGTAAATGTAATAATAGGCTTGCTTAATTATGGATACGAAAGCAGTTAAAACCTTAAATGAATTATTCTGTATTAACTTTTAGTGTGGTTAAGAAGTAAATTTGAAATGAATTTTCGTGAAACCTTGTTGGTTCAATTCCATATATTTTTTCCCGCCCAATGTGTCTTTTCGGTGAACTTCCTTTAGAAATAATGTATTTTCACCGGTTTATAGCGATCATACTTTAACAAAAATAGGGTAATACGACCATGAAAGTGGATCTTGACCTATCTAACTAAAGATCACACGTTTATTCATCAATATATTCTCTCAAACTGCGTTTCTACAAGTCATGTAATGCATGTCACAGAGCCGCTGAGGCCCTAGCAGCGTCGGTTTTGTGACCGAAAGATTGCTACCAACAGCAAGTGACGTAGTCGAACACTTGTATACAGTTCGCGTATTCCCCGCTAATGCAGAGCTGAGCAAAAAAAAAGTTGTACTTTTCAGAAGAATTTACGAAGCGACGTTAAAAAGAAGACGGAAAGAAACGGACTACGTGAAACGCCGAACTAAGAAACGTCAGTCGATGTTCAGTAATTGTTTTGTGCTTTCGCTGTCGTGTTCATCTTTTCACTCAGTGCGCTCTGTTACACAACGTAATGATCCACCAACTAGCACACAAGTGTATTTCAAGCAAGTTGAAAAGAAAAAGTGCCACGCAAATTCAGTGGTTACTTCAGCATTGTTCTAGAAAATTGGGTCACAAATCGGGCAAGCATGTCTTCCTCCTTTTTGTCCAATACTATTTTTAATTAGATTTTGTATAAACGGCTTTATTTCGTGGTTCCCGCGAAAACACTTGTTAACGAGATTCCAATGTACCATGTAATATGCGTAAGAAGAAACCCACTTACTGTGAAATTAGGGAGCACCTTAAATAAATATTTTGTAATCTTTTGATTGGCATAATCAAAATATTTTAAATGAAATACTACATGTATAAGAAAGGCATGGATATTTGCAACTTTCGAAACGACTGGACAAAGTAACATTCTAGTTCACGTGGACTATTGTAATCTTATTTGTACTTCAAAAAAGTAATCAGACGCATCTGGATATGTAGAAAACCTGAAAAAAAAAAAAAAACTAGCGCCTCAGCTTGATGAAGTCGCCAGGGCGACTGGGGGGTGCGTTGTGCCGAGCTTTGCGCAGAGAAGCTTTTCTTGAATATTCCGATACGCGTCGGACTCAGTTCCGGCAGAACAGTGCCGACCTACTGTCGCTATGTCACTACTTCGCAGTATTCGATACATTGGGTAACACATTCGATACACAGGGAAACGTATTTCACTAATGCTGTACAAACACACCTTTTTCAATGTATCCTCGATACAAGGAATCTCAAAGTATCTCTGAGACTACTACTGTTGCATCGCCGGGGATGTTGTCCACCCCGGCACTACATACTTCGTGTAGGGTACATACGACCACCGCAGTCATTCAGTGTAGTCAGACGGCAGCAGTTTTATTCTGTTATACCCAGTTTTACAACCAGGTGCAAAGGAATACTTCTGTCAAGGCTTTCCTGTCTAACTCAGCGTTACTTTAGTCACACCAGCAAAAATACCTCGTACAAGCGAATACAATTGCCAGCGCCTGTTGGTCGAACGCACGTTCAACGTTTCTGTGAGGAAAGAAGTTTCAGGAGAAAAGCTCAGCGGCGCTACCACGCCATGCACGAAAATTTTCGTGAGTTTCACCTCACTGCCGCTGCTTGCTTACGCTCTCCGCTCGTCCCACTACATCTATCTAGAGCATTGTAGCATAACTTCTACTTTTGCAAGAGAGTCTGATGCGTATTATTTTCTTCTTGTTTTTTTTTATTTTACCTGCTTAAGTACTGTATTTGAAATACGACCTTAAAAGCTTGCAGACGTGCTCTTTTCTGCACATAAGTTTGATAAATCACGATTGTTTAGGAGCTCATGTAGCTATTTCAAGCATTCTGCCGTTCCCCTGCGAGCGATTATTTCATCACCTACAAAATGTTGAAATATGCGGGAAAAACTCTGGAAGTGATGACACTGTCGATATACACCACCACAGATTTCAGTGGTTAATGTAATAATAGGCTTGCGTATAGATACGAAAGCAGTTATAACCTTAAATAGGTTATTCTGTATTAACTTTTAGTGTGGTTAAGAAGTAAATTTGAAATTAATTCCCGTGAAACCTTGTTGGTTTGATTCCATATATTTTTTTCCCAACCAATGTGTCTTTTCGGTGAACTTCCTTTAGAATAATGTATTTACACCTGTTTATAGCGATCATACTTTAACGAAAATAGGGTAATACGACCGCGAAAGTGCATTTTGACCTATTTAACTAAAAATCACACGTTTATTCATCAATATACTTTCTCAAACAGTGTTTCGACAAGTCACGATATGCATGTCACAGAGCCGCTGAGTCCGTATAGCAGCGTCGGTTTTGTAACCAAAATATCGCTACCAACAGCAAGCGACGCAATGAAATATTGATATACACTTTGCGTATTCTTCGCCAATGCAGAGCTGAGCAAAAAAAAAAAAAACTGCGCTTTTCAGAAGAATTTACGCAGCGACGTTGAAAAGAAGATGGAAAGAAACGGATTAAACAAAACGCTGAACTAAGAAACATGAGTCGATGTTCAGCGATTGATTTGTACTTTCACTGTCGTGTTCGTCTTTTCACTCAGTGTGCTCTGTTAGACACCGTAATGATCGACCAACTAGCACACAAGTGTATTTGAAGCAAGTTGAAAAGAAAAAGTGCCGCGCAAATTCAGCGGTTACTTGAGCATTGTTCTAGAAAATTGGGTCACAAATTGGGTAGGCACGTCTTCCTCCTTTTTTTTCTAAACTCTTTTCAATTGGATTTTGTATAGGATGCTTTATTTCGTGGTTCCCGCGAAAAAACTTGTTAACGAGATTCCAATGTACCATGTAATATGCGTAAGAAGAAACCCACTTACTGTGAAATTGGGGAGCATCTTAAATAAGTATTTTGTAATCTTTAGAGTGGCATATCCAAAATATTTTAAATGAAATGCGATATGTATAAAAAAGGCATGAATATTTGGAACTTTAGAAACAACTGGACAAAATAACAATCTTGCTCACGCTGACTCCCGAAATTGTATTTGTAGTTCAAAAAAGTAATCAGACGCATCTGGATATGTAGAAAACCTGAAACAAAAAACTAGCGCCTCCGCTTGATGAAGTCGCCAGGGCGGTCGGGGACCGCAGACCCGAGGCCTGGAGGGCATTTTGTGGCAACCGTGGCTCCGAGGCATCTTCTAATTTTCCTACTCTAACGTTTTCTCAATTGTTTTTTGCTCACAGTGGTTCTGCAAGCTGTACCAGAGAAGAAAAAAAACTGTTGGTGCGGGTCCTACGTACTGTTGCATTCTCATTGTGCTTTGTTATTCGCAAGACTTGCTATGCAACTCAACCCTGCTACATCCATCTTTTTTTTTTTTTCGTTTTCACCTTGGGCTCTCACTTTGGCTACGACTTTCGCTGCCTCGGCGGTGAGTCTCGGAATCGAATGAACGTGTGCAGGCCGGGCTACGTTCCCTGGGGCTTCGGCTGCTTGCGGAGGTTCCTGTCGGGCGACGGCATGCACAAGGTACACGCGGTCATCCGGTTCACGCTGACTGCCGTGTTCACCGTTGCCATGGTGCTTCTCGGCGTCTGGCTCTACCACCACTCCCACAGTCCCTCGCTCATGCGAGAGCGCTCCGTGGCAAACTGGGAGTACATGCCCAAGATGGATCAGACATAGTGCGGGCATTCCCTGCTGGGCAAAAATGTGGACATTGTTGATTTTCTCTGTTAAAAAAATATATATAGATATAGTTTCGTTGTATACTCCTTCTTTTTGTTTTCATTTTACTTTTACCAGGTACAACATTAGTGTTATGATAGAAAAAAAAAGTTGAAACCGACTACTGCCGATCAAGATCGTGAACGCCGACTGTGGTGGCTTCCAGAAGATTCTTTAAGAATTTTGGGAAAAGATGTACACGCTGTGTACAAAGGTAAAGTTGTTCTATTGCACTGGAGGGTGCGTGAACCTATGGCTTAGTGTGAAAATTGAGCACCGAGTGTCAGTACTCGAAGTTCCGAGTTCAAATAATGTCATGGAAATGTTTTGATAACGTTTACGTTTACTTACGAGTATTGGGTGTAGGCACGTGCTGCGCTGACGTCGCTCGCTCGGTGGCGCGCGCGCGCGTGTGTGTGTGCATGCGTGCGTACGTGTTTTACAACTTCGTTGCGAAAAATGGCCGTGGAGACTATTTCGCCTGATAAAAATTTCAGTGGCAAAGCACCTTAGAACTGGGGCTTGCCCGTCCACTTCCGTGGTCACGGGGAGACGCGTGAGACACACAAACACAAAGTTTATCAATTGACTAATATCAGCCATACTGAAGATGATGAAACCTAGAAGAACAAACCTTTATTCTAGTTGGTAACTTCAACGTTCACATCGCGGACCTTCGGACCTAGCCTTGTCGTCGACTGTGATTGTCCGCGGTCAGGGTTTATAGTCTAAAATTGCTATAGTCTAAAAATGTGTGTGTGTACGTGAGAAAAACATTTGCAATAGAACAACAACAACCACAATTGTGACAGAGCAATATAAAACAGCTACAAGCACAAACTCTTCATACTAGTCGGCGTCTTCAACGTAGACTTTATGGACCTTAATACGAACCTTTGTCGTCAACTCTTTACGTCACTTTTCCACTTGATTTACATTATACGGGGCAATGATTGGTAAACGTATGGTTACTCACCCATACGATACCCACAGCTTCGCCCACTCATCACAATACACTTCGTGGAGATGCGTGGATGATATTTTAAAACAATGTTCATCTTGTGCGTAAGGAGGAAAAACCTAAATGTCAAACTAGCAGCACGCCTACACTCATCGCCGCACCTCTTGAATACCAATGCGCTTTCTCAGTGAATAGTGGAAACCCAATAAAAGCGATTGTTAGGGTATTCATCGAAGTTTACTTGTCAATTTTCAATCTTTCACTTTCGACAAAGGTTGGTTTCTCCATATTGCTCACGACCAAATCAGGTAAGGAATTAGAGTTCCTAAGTTCGCTCAGTAATACACATTGCCTTTTTTTTTCACTTTACCCCGTTGTCTTATATTATAATTTGTGTCTTCTCTGTTTGGAAGGGCGCTTTGATATTAGGCGCACTTTAGCTTGGGACTGGGGATTAATTTTCATTGTCTGAGACTCTTCACGCATTCTTGATGTAGCTACACGACAGCGGTATTTGCACTTCACTTTCCGATCGAGGTGGGGTTCTTAGACAACCCTTCATGGCGAACGGGCCATGATGACGTTATAGTCACTAAGGTACCGGAATGCATATGCGAAAGTTTCACTGACACAAACCACTAAGATCTTTAGCAATAATATTGTAGTAATCAACAATTTAAACTTCTCTAGTAACAACACACAATAAAAAGTATGCCCTAAGTGGTTGAAGGAAACACTAGGAGCAAAATATTGCTGTCGCGTTCAACTCTTTAAGACAAAACCTAAGGGTCCTTCAATTTTTCTTTCGGGGCAGTTTCTCGTCCCCAAGGCGCTATCAAAGACATGCCAGTGATTCCTGAGAGGCTGAACCTTGCAGAATGTTTAAGGCATAGTAACCTATTTGAATTTCTTGAAAACATTTTATGATGTTCATCTGTGCAGTGTGTGCGATGACAGAGCCACATAAAAAAGACACTTGTGGGCTTCCCGCACAGCCTGCCCCGCCGCGGTGGTCTAGTGGCTAAGGTACTCGGCTGCTGACCCGCAGGTCGCGGGTTCGATTCCCGGCTGCGGCGGCTGCGTTTCCGATGGAGGCGGAAATGTTGTAGGCCCGTGTGCTCAGATTTGGGCGCACGTTAAAGAACCCCAGGTGGTCGAAATTTCCGGAGCCCTCCACTACGGCGTCTCTCATAATCATATGGTGGTTTTGGGACGTTAAACCCCACAAATCAATCAATCAATCATCCCGCACAGCAATCTTTACTAAAATTTTACATGATCTTTAACGCACGTGCATACTGACGGCTCTCCGCATTTTCATATGCAAAAGGTTCGAAAGTTTGCGGTTCAACTCGTTATATTTGCACTATGACAAGACAACAGCATACCTATCTTTTTCACAGTACAAGCTCTTCTAGTACATCACCATCACAACTGCCGCCATTGCCAAGCTACTTTCGCAGCTCGTGCCACGACGCATGAAGCACCGCAAGAGATCAGTGGCTTGCTTATCTTTCGCTTCCGCACTGCGATATAGTCAGATGCGGGGCAAAAATGTTTGGCCAACTCTCCTGGGATGGCATGGCGCCACGCTTCAAGATTGCGGCGCACACTTTTTTTTTTCTGTTATGGTGGTTGCACCACGCCGCTCAACGATTGCACATACATAAGCGAAGCGAAGTAGGTAGATAAAAAATAAAGTTACGACAAAGCAAGGCGCCACCGCTAGCGCCGATCCATGCGACCGTGAGCAAGAACACGGGTGTCATGAGCGCGGGAAAGAGGGCAGCACTGTTCGACGCGCACGTGGTTTGCTCCTATCGGTGATGGCGGCAACTACAGAGGGGCGCGGGGCCTTGCGGTGAAGCGGCTGACCTAGGGAGGGTAAGCTCCGGAGCTGGGGGCTCTTCGGTCGCCGTGTGTCGCATTGGTGCGCGCCCGCGGCCTCGGCATGGGTCCCGTCACAGGGCGGAGTTAGGACTCGCTGCCAGCAGCGCTCCGGTGCGTCCCGGGCTGTTCGAAGAAGCAGGTGGAATCGGAGGAGGACCGACGCCTTTTGCCTTGTCGTGCGAAGTAGGGAGAGTGTAGTAACAGAGCAAAGACCACAATGACGCTGCCTACCGTGATGACGGCACCGCCGCTTTTCATGCTCTTGCTGCTTATGCTACGTGCAAGCCAACCGGACTCGCTGGCAGTGCTCGCTGCACCGTCTGCGGCACCCGGTAACGACACAGCGACCGGTGAGTGATGACGCCTCGCACACGCGATGGTCTGCGTACGCGCACGTTTTGGACAGCGCGGGCAGCTGTCGTTACAGCGATGAGAAAGGCGGCACACGATCACCATCGGGTCCAACTAATTGTACGCGGAAGTGCTTCGGCGAGTGAGAGGAAATCAACTCTACGCCGACGTGCAATCCTACTAGGTTCTTCGAATAGGCGCAATTACGTCAATACGAATGATAGACAAGTATTTTCTGTGTCGATCAGTGTACTTAGGAAAGACCAGCGCAAGCTGAAAAATATACTTCGTGAAGACGTAGAAGCCGAGATGAACTCTGTGTCATTGTTTTGTTCATGTCCGAGTCCGTGCTTTGATCTTGCATTAATATGTTTTCCAGATGTGAGTAAACGGCTGCATTGAGAGTTTCGAGAAGTTGGTTTGGCTGTCACGGTGTGTTAATACTACGAGAGCTTTATAGAAGTTAGGAGTGGCACATGAAAGTGCAGGGTAAGACAACCTTAGCAAATATGCTTCCCAGTGAAGCCTCGCAGACGGACATGTAAAGTTACAAGCACGGGTCTTCCGATGTCCAGTTGTGTGAACACTGATGTATTTTTCCTTCGAGTGACGGAAAAGGTGAAACACTACTGTTCGAGCGATTCGCTTGTAGTGCACAGTTGACGCTTGAAAGACCATCACTTCGGCCGGTAAGGTAGTAGCGAAGTGTCTTTTCGATTGATACATGAATTTTACGTTGTATATTGCTTTCCGTGTAACCGACAATGCTGTTAATAATAATTCACCGCGTATAATTAGGCATGAACTCTGACTGTTGATTTATCAACACAACATCCGCTGACTATAGTAAATCCTTTGTTATGTGTCATTGATGCGATTTATTTTGACAGACGTCATCATTAAGCGAATCTTTCTTATCCGAAATGTTGACGTACTGGACAATATTTTTTTTCTCCTAACATAACATAATGTATTCATGCAGTGCAAGTATTCAGGTTAAAAACAGGTTTCTTTTTTGTTCTAGCAGGAAGCGAAGCAATATTTTCACAAGTGTATCAAATCGCCTCGTTAAGTGTGCAGTACATCTTCGTAATGTATTTTGCGTTAATGCCCGCGTTGTCAACTTGACACAGCGGTAACCGAACGATTAGCACACGGGACATTTAAAGGAGCCGTAATGTGCAGTGACAAATACGGATTATCTCGCCGCGAGTAAAAGAACAGAGAAATACAAAACAAAAAACAAGCGGTATCCACAGAAATTAGCATAGCGGACAGTAATTGACTGCAGCTTGCTTCCCTCAGCTGAGCGTGATGCCCATAATCATCATTTCTTGAATTATTAAGAGAAAGTGCTCCGTGAAAGCGCTGAAGGTAAAAAGTGAGGGGCTGAAGTCATTACTGTGAGGCTCCTGCGCTTAATGCCAGAGCTAATGAAGTTTCCCGCCAAATTGCTAACCGCGCGCATTCCCTCGGCAATGCACTTTTTATCGCTTCGCGATTTGAATATTGTTGGCTGCCCTGAGTAACTTAATATTACAACACATATAGTGTAACATCGCGTGAGGTTTCCTGAAGTGTTTCTGATGGATAATCCATATTGACAGCCTACACTGCTCTTTATTTGTATTGCGTTATATTAGCGTCGTTACTATCTGCGCCACAAGGTGTAACGTGAAATATTTGTAACGTGATCGGTGATGTGAAAAACGCAATGACGATGACATAATTACTTCGTGAAGTGATTGCAGATTAACGAAGAGCTACATTACTGCCAGTTCTACCCACAAGGATATGAAAAAATCTCACTATTTCTCTGTTTTATTTTTAACCTGATGGCTTGGCTGGTTCTGAACATAATGCGAATCGACTTGAACAATGCAGCTTGAATTGGAATATGCAATACTAAAATACGAGCGAAGTGTTCGTAAAGTAACTTGAAAAAGAAACGAAAAACTGAAGCAAACTTGCACATGACTACATAAGGTCGCAGCAACCCACTTACTCCAGAACCAGAGTTATTGGTTTCCCATCAGCCTACGTTACACGTCGCTATGTTCAAAAAGCTGTGTAAAACGAATCAGAGTAATTGGCCGATCAGAGTAACTGCCGAAAAAAATATATTGACTATGCCTATATTGTGTTTTATACTTATTGAGAAAACTAGCAACACGCTTGAGCAAGAAAAAAACGGCAGAAACGTATTCCGAAGGAACTGCTGCCCAACAACAGCAAAAGGCAGCGAGCTTTACTGGGAACCAGTCTTATTTGCTTCAAAAAACAAAACAATGATTCTATTTGGCATAAAAATAAAAGCCGGTAGTTTTCTGACATGCGTTCGATATCCGCGAGAAAGGCTTTGAGGTTCTTTTTGTTTTTCGAAATGAAGCAGAACTCTGAACCCTTCCTCCGTTAGAACCGCAGTCTAATGACACCACTTTCATGGAGCATCGTGTGAATAAGTTTCAAACCTGGTAGCCCACACGAAAGCAATATCACGCCAAAAGGCTGTTAATGTATTTTTTTTTTGCGACACCAGAACCTTCGGTCGATTCAATTCTTGATCGCATCTAACCGGCAGTTCACAAAAAAGGTTGCAAAAAAACTCTCCTCGGCGCTTCTAATTGGAGACTCAAAAACGCAGTGAAGGCTCTACGTTCGCAACTGTCTGACGCCTTGAGAGTTCAAACGTGTGAGAATGGCCACTGTCGCTAGTCGGCGGGGTCATTGCGAAAGCCCCCCATTTGCCCGGCATTCCGCGAGAGGACCCCACAGAAGGGAAACCATTAAAAAGTGACGAACCACTGAACAGAACACGCTTATAGTTCAGAGTATATAGCGCGCACTCGTTAAAAACTCCCCGCCATGCTTTTCCCGCACGTGACATGGTTTTCTCCCGTTCACCAAAGACCACCCCCACAACAAATGAGCGTGCCATGCTCTGGCTTTGAGGACGCCTTCTCCAACGGGTTATTTCGCAAGCATTTTTCCCGGACCCAACAGGAAGGCATCCGTTCCGGGCATCCTAATGGCGCGCTAACCCTTTCTCTGTCTCGGTGGCGCGGCCACGCTTGAAAAAAAAGACTAATCAATACTAGTGGGTCTTCTCGCCTGGCTGAACTCCCGTTGTCGCTTGTATCGTCTCTCTGGTCACCGCTACTGTGCCGCGTGCGGGCGCGACACAGGCCAATTTGGCATGTGAGGGTCGCCAGCGTGATTTAAGGGCGCTACGCTGCATACGAGGCCGCCTATCAGTGTGTGCGTAGCAGTACGCATTCATCACCCTGTGACGCGGCGTGTTTGTGGTGTGCTAGCTCAGTTTCGTAAGTAAAGGGTCCATGATATCTTACTGATACTATTGAACGAAAAAAAAAAGAGAAAAACTCCGGAAGTGTCAGACAGCCATACTGTTGCCATAAAAAAGGACTCATTATTCAGTTGTTTTCATTACTGAGATTTATCGTTTCATTCGGTCTTTTTTCGTTTGGGCCTCTAGTTTTGCCAAATTAATCTTGTGTAACTGAAAGAGTGCTTCACTGCACTAAGAGCATTTGAAAGGAGATGCCGACCTTACAAATTGTACACACCTCGATTTTTGTCATTCATTCATTCATTCATTCATTCATTCATTCATTCATTCATTCATTCATTCATTCATTCATTCATTCATTCATTCATTTGTTCTATGTAATGCGTCCATCAATGTTAGAGCGACAGAAATGAGTTCAATACACAAAAGTTGAGATACGTGCGGAAGGAAGGCAAAAAAAAAAGCTATTTTAAATTGTAGGAGTGCTTACGACTTGCAATATGTATAAATATGCTCCTGCACGCTTAGTTATTTAGTATATTGCACTTTAAAACAGGTTAGTACTTGTCTTCGTCGGCCTTTGCGAAGCAAGATCAAGAAATGCTATTTACAGCGCAGTACACTGATGCTGCAAAGTAACTTTGCGTCATCCTCCCATTTGCCATTCTCTGAACGTAGAATTGCAAATGACAAGCAGCGAATGTTGTTGTAATCATCATTATCATTATGAAACCAACGTCATGCGTTGTAATGCAGCTCCGTTGTCGTCTTTGCAGCGGTGACCTGTACGTAAGGATAAAGAAAGAAAAGAAATTTGTCACTGGCACTAAGAGATTCTTTCTAACTGCAGACTGTTCAGGTCTCCAGATCTTTCCAGATCTTTGCAGTTATGTTTGCAGTGCTCAAAAAAGTTTTGCATATTGACAAACTTATTTCTTACGCTTTCGATTGCAGCTATAAATGACATTAAATTTGTACCACGCAGAGAGAGAAGAATGAACCTTGCATCTGTAGTACAACAGTGATTAAAAGAGTATGACTTCAATAAACTTATTGCAAATTAAGGCTTAGTTCATAATAACGTTTTGTTTTAGTTTACCACGTAGAATGGATATGTATACATAACTTTTTGTAACAAATATATGTGTTTCTGTGTATATTTTGTTTTGTTGAGGTGTTTTGTTGAGTTGTTATTTATGTCCACTGTCTGTATAAATTTCTCTAAACGCATCAATAACGTCAATTTAGTCATTATCAAGTACTGCACAGTCGATGAAGATTTATGCAATACTATGAGCATGTGAAAGCCGGTCAGATTAATATATCTCACATTCCATGAGTTCACCTGTACGTTATTCTGTGACCCAGAGAATGACATGAAACCCCCAGGTGCATAAGCACCCTAATTTTTCTTGCCTGTCAGTTTTTTTTTAAATAAGAACCTGCAATAGTAGGCATCCCAAAAATAATCCCGTGCTTACATAGGAAACTCGGGCTACTGAGGCCGAGCGACATATACTGTAACCCCTCCTGATCCATTGGGTATTGTAACGTACATTGGGCACTTTAAGGTTATAGCGCATGAAAGTCGTATTAACAAAATAGCACCATGAAGCGTGTGTCTCTTCTGTGCAACGAAGCAGCAAGCCAAAAAGAATAGCCAATAAATAGTCGATTCACTAGCTTCCT